GGGAGGGGAGGGGGGGTAGTAAAGTAATCTTGAAGTACATTTTTATGGATCGGGACCAAAATGAGGAGCTCGAGACGCCAGTTTCCATGAGGAGGGTGTGATCGCCGAACTAGGCCGAGTTCTGGATATAACTGTGGAGTTTAAGTTCTGGATATAACTATGGAGTTCAATCTAGGTACATCTTTATGAGCTAATGTGAAATTACTCACACCCTTTTGCCAATTTCACGAACGACATCCCCCTCCTCGCTCTTCAATATTCATTATTTAGAAAAGCATCACAGCAACAATGCCAGGAAGAATGCACCGACTCACTTGCATTTTCCTATGCCTGGTGCCAAGATGCAGCTGGCACTGCGCGGACATAAACCAGGCCTTATGAGCAGCATCTCAGGCTCGTGGCATCATTCCTCTTGACTAGAGTAAACACAAAGAGCCTTGAATCGTGGATGTACCTTCTCTCTCTCTCTCTCTCTCTCTCTCTCTCTCTCTCTCTCTCTCTCTCTCTCTCTCCCCCTACCCACCTACCTACCTACCTACCTACCTACCTACCTACCTACCTACCTACCTACCTATCTATCTATCTATCTATCACACACACACACACACACACACACACACACACACACACACACACACACACACAGCCAGCCTCTTTATCTCTCCTTGAGCTTGTTAACTGCTTCCCGCAGATTGGAGCTTTTTTCATCACGTTGGAAACCCCACCCGACATTCACAAATTGCACACTCTTTAGATAAGTTCTCGCATGCATGGATTAAGAGATGAGGTCTGCATTTGCCGATGATGATTTGCACAGAGTCCCCGTATCTCTTGGTCGATGCGAGTGAAGCCGGAGCTCACACATGCTGATACTCAGTGTGGAGGGAGTTGCATGCGGTAGATGTGGGTGCTTTGTCTTACCCCCTGCTCTTCAGCGGGGGTCTTGCTTTTCTGTGTTAACTTCACTAGATCCTCCGATCTTATTTTTCCCGATGCGGATTTGCACTACACATTGCCCGCCCATCAAAAACAAAACCGCCGACGGCCCGGTTTCTTTTCTCTGGCCAGTTTTGTCACTCCAGAGAATCCAGTGGCAACCAACCTTGTAGCACAAGTTCACTCGGAGAGGTGTACTTGGGTTTGAACCGCCAGTTGGCACGACCCTTCTTTTTTTTTTTTTTTTTTTTTTTTTTGTTGTTGTTGTTGTTATTGGCACGACCCTAAGTAGTGCTCTTACCGGTATAAGGTGTACAC